GGAGACCCCAGGGGTTTACTTTTTTATTACATTTATTTATTCAGCATATATGTGTGCACAAAGATGTGCCTACCAAAGTGCAAATGTAGAGGTCAGATGAGAACCTGTGGGTGTCACTTCTCTCTTTCCACCATGTAACCCTCAGGGGTCTAATTCATCTCCTCAGGCTTGGCAGCAAATGCCTTCACACACTGAGCCGTCTTGTCAGCCCCAGATCTGAGGATTTTGAAGATGCCAGGACCATGCTATGTTTCCCAAAGAAAGATGTGGGTGAGCATAACTGGCCCAAGACAGAGGCTATGTGTGCAGCAGGTGGACTGTTGTGGTCCAGATACTGGGCCAAGAGCTCCAGGTTCTGAACACCACATTTCAGGTTTTGGTATTTCCTGGCAGGCTCCTGTCTTGCTTTGGTCTGATTTTTCTTTCGATGCACTCATTCTTTTCTATTTTAGTCTGTGCCCTTGGATATTGAAAGGTTGGTTGGTTGGTTGGTTGGTTGGTTGGTTGGTTGGTTGGTTGAGAGAGGTCTCACTCACTGTGCAGACCAGGCAGATAGCATACGTACTGAAAATACATAACTTCCTTTATATTATTTTTACAGAGTTCACAGTTAAGGGGGTGCTGGAGCCTCAGTAGAGGCTTCTGAACAATGTTAGAACTGTTGGGAGTTTGAGGGGCTGGTGAGAGGGTGTTGCACAAGTGCCTGCTGCCAAGTCTGACCCCACTGAGTTTGATCCCCAACAACCACTGGGTGGGAAAAAAATCAAGTCTTACGAGCTATACTCCAAGATCCATATATACATCATGGCAGTGTGTACTGTACCTCCCACCCCTGCACTATGAGATAGCCAAGAAGCCCTAGGGACAGGGCAAGCTACTGATGTAAGGGGACGCATGTGCCGAGTTGGTAAGGGATGACCAACCCTGGGTAATCTTCATTGTCACTTTGACTGAATTTGGACGCTGTTGGGAATCTGTGAGAGCATTTCCAGGGAGCTTTAACTGAAGATGGAAGACTCACCCTGAACAGGGGTGGCATCATGCCATGAAACAGAGATCTAGAATGAACTTTAAACTAAACAACAAAGTATCTTCTCCAATGGGAGCCACAGCCAAGAGCCCCTCTTTCTGCCATGATGGACTGGAACTGCAAACCTTAAGCCCAAAGAATCCCTTCCCCGTTTAAATTGCTGTGTCAGGTGTTTGGCTCACAGCAACTAAATAACCCTGGAATGGCCAGCTGCCTGCAATGGGCTTAGTGAGCATAGTCTGTGTCGCATGTTTTGATCCACAGTGCCCACAGGAACCAGGGTCACGCTCTGATGACCAGGGGTCATGCTCTGACGTTCACACAGCAGAAACTGCTAGCACACTTCCACCCTGTGCTCTCTCAGCCACCAACCTGGAACATAGTTCGTAATTAAATCTCCTTCAGGCTGTTTCAATGAACACAAGAATTTTATTTTGTTTTGTTTTTGAGACAGGGTCTTGCTATGTAGAACAGGCTGGCCTCAAACTCACAGAGATCCTCTGTCTCCCAAGGCTGGGATTAAATACTTGTAATGACCATGCCCCAGACATTGGAATTTTAGGCCAGAAGCTGTGCATTGAAACTTTCCCTGATATAACGTCCAAGATTCATAGAAAAGTCCTAACAAAAAAAAGGAGGCCTTGTTTTCCCCTTCCGAGGCTGTCGGCTCAAGCGAGAGGTCCTTCAGTTAAACAGAGATGGCATGGCTGCAGACTCCTGAACTAGCAGTCACCAACACCAAAGTGGGTGGAGAAAGACTGGTACACTCAGTGACGGGACGGCGTGCAGCCATAGAGAAGAACATGAGAGACTGTCATTTGTAGCAGAACAGACAGAACTGAAGGACACCATGGTCAGGGAGTGAGTCGGCTGCAGAGAGATAAGCCTCATTCCCTTTAGTGCACCCCACTTAAAAGGATATGGAATTGTGAGGACCAGCGTGGGAGGGAGACAAAGGAGGATGAAAAGACCAAGTCTGATGAATGTGTGCTACTTGCATGCTAAAAATATCTGTGGGTCCTCATTAATATATACAATTAATACATGTTAATAAAAACAGATATTAAATTAAAAATCTCAAAAAAGTTATTGCTCAATACATGTGAGCATATATTTTTAAATTACAGCTTAAAATAGATCTTTAATTTTATTATTATCATATTATTACTACTATCACTGTGTATATGAGTGCATGGTGTGTGGTGGGGGTGTTATCACCATGACAGCTAACACAGTGAATGTGTGGAGTCAGAGAGCAACTCTGAAGTTGGTTCTCTACTCCCACCCTCTGGGTGCCAGGGATTGAACCCAGCCTGTCGTGATTGAGTAGCAAGTGCTGTTACCCCCTGAGTCAGCTCTTTGGCCCATAATTTTTAAAAATATTGACCTTCATTACCTCTCTCTCTCTCTCTCTCTCTCTCTCTCTCTCTCTCTCTCTCTCTCTCTGTGTGTGTGTGTGTGTGTGTGTGTGTGTGTGTGTGTGTATGTATGTATGTGGGCCTTTTGTGAGCCACCTAGTGTGGAGCTAGGATGAACCGAACTGCTGCTGAGTCATCTCTCCAGACCTTTGTTGTTGTTGTTGTTGTTGGAGACAGGGATTCTCTGTATAGCCCTGGCTGTCCTGAACTCACTTTGTAGACCAGGCTAGCCTTGATCTCACAGAGATCTGCCTGCCTTTGCCTCTTAAGTGCTGGGATTAAAGGTGTGCACAACTCCTGTTTGCCATGACCAGTAAATTTTTTTAAATAAAACTTGACACTAACATTTTCAGAATTGCTAAAGCATGCGTTGAAACCCTTATTTGGGAAATAATTAAACAAGGTATCTTCAAAGGTCTCATTTTGAAGCTGAAGCGTGTGTGGCTGAGCAGTAAAGCCCCTCTCTTCCTGGAATCCCCCAGTGAGGGCTAGGGGCATGGCTAGGGGTGTGGCTCATGGTATAGCGCTTGCCTCCAAGTCCTGGTTCTGTATCCAACACAGAGAAACAAGCTATTTTTTGCTGCTGGTTTTGCTGAGTCTGTCTAGAGTCCCATGGAGTGAAGGAGGGCTCTCACCTCTAAGGTCTGACTAGAGCAAGGCTCCAGGCACAAGACAGGTTCACTAGACGGCTATAGGCACTGTGGAAAGAGCCACTTCAGAGCAGAGAGGCTGGCAGCAAAGCAGATGGATGCTAGCATGTCCTGATGTGTCAGGGAACTGAGTGAGCCAAGCATCTTAGCTGGGCATAGTGGTCATGACTCTTGTCCAAGCAGGAAATGGAGGCAGGAAGATAAGACTGCACCAACACTTTTGGCTACGCATGGAGGCCAGTGTGGGCATCATGAGTGTGTGTGCACGTGTGTTTGTGCCTGGACACACATGTGGGTACATGTGCATGTGTATTTGAAGGCACGAGGTTGAGTCAGGAATAATCATTGACTTCTCTTCTACTTTATTCATTGAGGCAGGGTTTCTTAATCAAACCCAGAGCTCACAGATGTGTCTAGCTAGCTAGCCAGAATGGTCCAGATTCTCTGTGACCTTGTTAGCTTTAACTGTCAATTTCACATAGCCTAGAGTCACCTGAGAAGCAAGTCTTAATTGAAGGGTTGTCCAGATCAGACTGGTCTGTGGGCCTGTCCATAGGGCACAGCAATCACTGTTAACTGTTGGAGGAGGGAGCCCACTGTGAGTGGCACTACTCACTGGGCGTGTGGTTCTGGGGCTTACGAAAAAGCTTAGCTAATCAGGAGAAAGGAGAAACCGCATCCTCAGTGGTTCAGGCCTGTGGCTTGAATGAGAATGGCTCCCACAGGCCACCATAGTGGTGAGAGGATTCTCATGATAGATCTCTCAGCTCCTCCTGCAGCACCATGTCTGCCATGCGTGCTCTGAGGCTCCCTGTTGTGATGACAGTGGACTAAGCCTCTCAAGCTATAAACAAGCGCCCCTACCCCATTAACTGCTTTGCCGTGGTCATGGTGTCTCTTGACAATCACAATGGAAGAGTGACTGAGACACTGCTGTATGTCCGTGGCCGAGTGAGTCCCCTAGTCAGAGGTCGTGGTGTGTGCAAAAGCCACCATGTCTGCCTTCAGTTCCTGCCTGACTTCCCTCCCTGACTCCCCTCAGTGATGAACTGTGCAAGGCCTGGAGGTGGAAGGCCAGATGAACCATTTCCTCCTCTGAGTTGCTTTTGGTCAAGTTTTTCGTCACAGCAACGGAAGAAACAAGAATAGCCTGTTCCCTGGGGCTAGGCTTGCAGCTAGGCGCCAGTGTGTACAATGTTCATGTGTTCTGGGATACAAACATTGGGTCCCTCACTTAAATCACTAAAAGACAGGTGATTTAAGCCTTTCTCTCTAGGCTGTCCTGAAACTCACTATATCACCTAAGACTGGCCTCAAACTCACAAGAATCCTCCTACCTCTGCCTCTTCTGAGTGCTGGGATTGAAGGCTGTGGCACCACCTGATCCTGGGGGATTTTTTTTTTAACACACCATTTTGAGTCTCAGAGCAGGAGCTGCAGACAGGCTAAGTATGCTGTGTGTCTAACTATGCTGTGTGAGCCTTTGCAGTATGGATTATGGGCTATTACTGGAGGCTCACCGCTGTGAAGACAGGACAGCATCCACCACATCCCAACAGTCTACCACTCTCCGCCATCCAACACTGCGACCGGGTCACTCCTGGTCCTACGATGACTGCAGATCCTGTCAAAGCTAGCGACTGGCTCAAGGAGAAGAGTAGACTGACTAGGACTAAGAGGCAGAGCCAAGGCCTTGATCCAAGTTCTTAGAGTAAGGTGAGAAACGCAGGCTGCTGCCAACCTGAGGGGAGTAGGCCTGAGAGCCCATGGAAAAAGCTGTGAGGAAAATGGAAGACGGTTGAGGGGAAGGCTGGGGCCCGCGTGGCACCAGCAGAGAGCGTCAGTTGGCTTCAACCAGGTGAGTCATGGCTACATCACTGAAGCCCCTGCCTTGGTAGGCTTTCAGAGTATGAGGCAGACCTGTGAGCGTTTATTTGATTTTGATTCCTTTCCATCTATGGCCACTGGTTCTGCGTCCTGGGGGGCCTCTGCCGCAGCCAGCTCTTCCCTCTGCCTGGTCTTGACCAGCCACACTGCCTTCTTGAAGTTCTTGAGAGGGTCTTGCTGGGAGGCTCTGGCTGACGGGCACTGGAAGCGCTCACGGATGAGGTAGCCATGACTTGTAGGGGCCATGAAGCCATTGGAGGTAGGGATGATTCGGTTGACCGTGGCATGAACAAACTGAACAGCCAGCAGTGTGCCTGAGACGGGGAAAGGACAAGCCGTGAGAAAATGGGGCCCAGAGATGGAAGGACATTGCAGCTCGCAAACACAGGGCCTGAATTTGATCCCTAGCACACACAGAAACAGCTGCATGTGGAGGTGCACACTGGCAGTCCCAGTGCTCTGGAGGCAGAGATGGATGCTCCCTGAGGCTCCCTGTTTGGCCTAATCATTGGGCCCAAAGTCCATCGTCTCCAGCCCATGATTACCACCCAAGTATATGGGTAACATCCACCGGGCACTTTGTCCCTCGTGAAGACCTGGGGGAGAAGCCTGTTCTGTCTCCAAAGAGGTGTGCAGGCCATGTGTAGAGAGTGCTGTGGCAGCAGGCAGGCAGGTCTTAAAGACACCTCCTAAGCTGAGGGACCACTAAGACCCAAAATGACTCTTTCCCCTCCAAATCAGAGCATGGTCCTAGGGAAAGAGCTCAGTAAGCATGCCAGTTAAGGTTTGGGTGTTTTGTTTGTCAACTTGGCATCAGCTTGGGTCATGTGGGAAGGAGGAGCCTCAGTGGAGAAAATCTCATCTGACTGACCTGTGGGGCGGCCACAACTCACCTGTGCCACAGCTGGTGATTCCAGGATCTATAATACATCAGGCTGAGCAAGCCATAACAGCAAATCAATAAGCAGCATCCTTCATGGCCTCGGCTTCAGTTCCTGCCTCCAAGTTCCTGCCCCAACTTCCCTGAGTAATGGACCTTTAAGCCACATGAACCCGTTTCTACCCAAGTTGCTTTTGGTCAGGACTTTTATACAGCGATAGAAAAGCAAACAAGGACTGTAGGTAAAGGGCATGCTACACAAGCTTCCAGACTTGATTTTGGATCCCAGCACCTACACAAAAGCCGGGTGCAACGGCATGGACCTGTGATCCCAGGACAGGAAACACCGTCAGGGGTCAGTCCCTGGGGTCAATGGCCTGTCAGCCTTGCTGAGTAGGTAAGACATATCTCAAAAAATAACATGGAGAGCTAGGCATGGTGTTGCCCTCCTTTAATCCCAGCACTCTGGAAGCAAAAGCAGACGGAGTTTTGTGAGTTTGAGGCCAGTTTGATCTACAGAGTGAGTTCTGTAGCCAGTCTTTGCTATTTTATGGGTTTTTAGTTTTCCCACCTTTATCTGCCCTCCATTTCACCCCCTAACACTAGATAGGAGAGAAAGACGGATAGAGGGAGTGGGGATGAGATGGGGAGGGAGAAGGAGGGGGAGAGGGAAAAAGAGAAAGAGGAGGAAGGAGAGAGAAATCAATCCCTGAATCTACATTTTTTTCCTTTTTTTTTTTGTTTGGTTTTTCAAGACAGGGTTTCTCTGTGTAGCCCTGGCTGTCCTGGAACTCACTCTGTAGACCAGGCTAGCCTCGAACTCTCGAACTCAGAAATCCGCCTGCCTCTGCCTCCCAAGTGCTGGGATTAAAGGCGTGTGCCACCACCGCCCAGCCTGAATCTACTTCTTCTTCGAGCTTGGCCACTAACAAATCACAACCAACCCCCTTGAAAAACCACCAACCACACCTATCAGGGTCCGAGCATTTATACACCCTCAGAAAAGTTCCCAGAATTCCAAATGTCACACAGTCGCAGAAACTATCTGCAGCTGGCAAAATAATGCCTGTGCTAGAGCACGAGGCAAGTCATAGTCAGCTGCTGCAACCTGAAGTAGCCCCACATCTCTATACATAGGGTTAAAATGATATAATATTTCTGTGTTTTCAAAAGAAAACAAAATTCCAGAATTCTCATTATAAGTTCCAGTTCAAAATGAGAGATCCTATCTCAAAACAAACAGAAGCGGGAGGAGCTCTGAATTCAAGGCCAGCCTGGGCTATAGAACAAGTTCCAGGACAACCAGGCTACACAGTGAAACCCTGTCTTGATAAAAACTAAAACCAACCAAACAAAGAAGCACATACACAACCACCTTCCATGAAATAACAAAGAGAGTGATCGAAGAAAATACCCAACCTCTACCCTTCACAGATACATGTCCAGGTGTACTAACAAGGTTGTCCTCCAGCTCCAGGTGCAGCTCGCACACACACACACACACACACACACACACACACACACGGGGGTTGGGGGGGAGAGAGAGAGAGAGAGAGAGAGAGAGAGAGAGAGAGAGAGAGAGAGAGAGAGAGAGAATTAAGAATAAAATAGGTTTCTGCATAGTTCAGCCTCGCCCCACACTAGCACTCACCGTCCAGCGTGCTCCAGGCGGTGATGGAGTGGTCCTCCATGCCTGCAAACACATGCTTGTCATCCTTTGAGAAGCAAGCACACCGCACCCCTCTGCAGTAGGAGCTCTGTGAAAACAGGCCATGTGTGGTGCTGTGCATGAGAAACATCCCCTGGCCACCACCCCAACCTGGGCTCCACTGGAGGCGGAGCAGAACAAACCCCAGAGAGATGGACAAATAAACTTTCCAAGGAGCGAGATCTGTCTTCATGAAGGTGACAGTGTCAGGGCTATTGGAGTGAAAAACCAGTTCACAAGCAAGCTCTCGGGTATGAGCATGCATGTGTGTGTGTGTGCTTGTGTAAGTATTTGTGTGCCTGTGTATGCATGCATGCACAGTGTGAGTGTGCACATGTATTTATGTGTGTGCATGCAAGTGTTTGTATGTGTGTGTGTATGCCTGTGTGTTTGTGCATCTGTATGCATGCATGCAGTGTTTGCTTGTGTGTGCATACAAGAGTCTGTGTGCATGTGTGAGTGTAGGTTGTGTGTGTGTGTGTGTGTGTGTGTATGCTGCATTTGGAGCTGGAGGATAGCCTTGTTAGGAATGCCTTCCTTTTTATTTGAGACTGGGTATCTCTCATTGACTTAGCTCACCCATTAAGCTAGCCAAATTTTCCTTTGTTACGTTGAGACAAGAGCAGATTGTGTAGCTCAGGCTATCTCAGACATGATCCCAAGCTTCCAGATGAAAAAAGAAGGCATGCTTACAATCCCAGCTTTGGGAAGATGTGGACAGGAGCACCCTGTCCCCTGGCCAAACGGGAGAACCCCAGGCCCCAGTGAGAGACTCTGACCCCCAGTCAGGATGAGGAATGACATCCTAGATTGACCTCTATCCACCACACACATTGCAAAGACTGGAAATAGTGCACACACACGAAGAAAGCAAGAAGTGAGGGAAAAATTAAGGAAGGACCTCAGGATGGGTGTCAACGGCCCAGGCCACCCACCTCATAGCTCATCTCGAACATTCCCCTGCAAGCTTGCAGGTCCCAGAGGCACAGCAGTGCATCCTCAGCCCCGCTCACTGCTAGCTGCTCTGCGTGGCTGACCTCCACACAGCTCACCCTGCTCCCATGGGCCTCCAGAGGGAACACTTTAGACCGTGCACAGTCGTACAGGAAGAGGCTGCCGTCGCTCATGCCATAGAGCACGCGGTAGTTGGCTAGGACAGCCACACTCACTACGGTCTCGGGCAGCTGGGTGTAAAAGGTGTAGGTGGGGCCTTCAATGACAGGACACGGGTCCCCAGGGCTGATATCAAGCACCAGGACAATGTTGTCATAGGCAATGGCCAGCCGACCCTCGCTCTTGCTCAGGGACATGCAGTTGACAGCTTTGCGTGCCTCAGGTGGGGGTATGCACAACACATCTTGTCTGGAATTCAGGGGGAACACAAGCACAATCCCAGAAACCAGGCCTGTGAAGAGGAGCTTAGCCTGCTCGGCTACCTCCAGACAGCGGACCTCATTGGATGTGTCCAGGGAATCTTGCTCCTCACCTGTGCAGGGAGAAAAGAGTCAAGGGTGGACCCGCTAGTTTTCTCAACTTTTAAAAAATTACTACTACTTATATGTATGTGTTGGTCAGAAGACAACTTGTGGGAATCAGTTCTCCCTTACCACCATGTGTGGGTCCTGGGGCTTGAACTCGTGGCTTCAAGCTGGGCTGGCCTTAGCTTTCTTAGTTTAATGATTTTTATCTCTGACCCTTAAGGTTCAACTTGGATGGTGTAAAGTTTCCTGGCTTCACCCAAAGCTGGAAACGGCCCCTGTACCCAAGTGCATGTTCAATAAGCTTTGGGGCAAATGGAAGCTGGGGCTTGAGGCATGGTCAGTAGGCACTGGGGTGCAGGGGTGGGATCTTTAGCTCCCACAGGCTGGACAGGCACCTGAAGCTCCCTGTTTCTTGGAGGGGTGGTTATGCTCAGGAGGAGATGATGGCAGAACCAGGGTTTGTGCACGTTTCACAAGTCTTGACCTGGCCCATCTCAGGAACTGCAGACCCTGGGGAATAGCAGGCCTTACTCCTGCTGGGCCAACACAGAGGCTACTGTCTCCAGCATCCCCCACTGCACCCTCGACTGGCCCTGGGTTAAATTTTGAGGCAGGATGTCATGATGCTATTCCTCATTAAAACATTCCCTTCTGATACGTGCACGGAGGTGCCTCGGGCTGTGAGCTGCCTGCAAAGGGTTTACAGAGCTCCAGGGAGTGGCTGGGAGCTAGATGGGATTTGGGGTAATGCAGCTGGACTCCTGTCCCCCACCCATGTTCCTGTAACTCCAGCAGACTCTTTCACCTTCCTAGATCAACTCCAGTGCACTTTTCTTTGATGTGGATGCCCTTTGTATCTGGAATGAACAGAAATGGATGTGCAGGAAAAGTCAGGCAACACAGGACCTCCCTCATACCCAAGCTGGTCTCCAGCTCTCTATCTTCCTGCCTCAGCTTTCCCAGGAACTGAGATTACAGCTTGGTGCATGACAAGCCCGATTTGCATCTCATCTAATTAAAATGAAAATGTCCTCATCCCACCATCTGGCCTAACCCTCACACAGGTGTCCCAGTGACTGACACACTCCCTCCTCTCTGTCACAGCCTGTGATCATAGGCTGAATGCTTGAGTCCCCACGCCTCACCACATTCCATGTTGAATTCCATCTTGGGCCTGGAGAGATAGTTCAGTGGTTAAGAGCACTAGCTCATCTTGCAAGGAACCTGGGTTCAGTTCCCAGCACCCACATTACAGCTCACAGCCACCTGGGCTTCCAGCAACAGGGAATCTGACATGCTCTTCAGAGTTCCTCGTGCACCAGGCACACACATGTAACATATACATACATGCAGGCACAACACTTATACGCACAAAAAATAAAATAAAATAAAATAAAGAAAGGAATTTCATTTACAATATGATGACATTGGGAGGTGTGGTCTTGGGAGTTGATTAGATTTCTGGGGTGGATCCCTCAGAAAAGAGGTTAGTGCTCTAGCCGGGCGGTGGTGGTGCACGCCTTTAATCCCAGCACTTGGGAGGCAGAGGCAGGTGGATTTCTGAGTTCGAGACCAGCCTGGTCTACAGAGTGAGTTCCAGGACAGTCAGGGCTACACAGAGAAACCCTGTTTTGAAAAAAAAAGACAAAAAAAACAAAACAAACAAACAAACAAAAAACCCCAGAGCACTCACCAGACCTCAGACCCTCTAGCACCTCTGTCTTGGCGTTCTTATCATGCATTTTGTGTGTGTGCACACCAAAGAGTGACAATGGGATTCTTCAAGTGCTTTTCAACGTCTTTGTAAATATGTGTGTGGTGTGTGGATGTTCACATGAACATGGGTGCAGATGTGTATGTTCAGTGAGCGTAGGTGCACATGAGTGTGTGTGTGTGTGTGTGTGTGTGTGTCCCCATGTGAGTGTGGAGGACAAGGCTGAAGTTAGGAGTTTTCCTCCGTGGTTTTCCACCTTATTCTCTGAGGCGGGGCCTCTTGATTGAACCCAGAGCTAGTGAAGTTAGCCAGCTTGCTCTGGGGACTCCCTGTCTCTGCCTTCCAACTGCTGGGATTAGAACCTGCGTTTACGTGGAAGTGAGGCTCTGAACTCAGGTCTGAATGCTTGCAGAGCAAGCACTTTACCCACGGAGTCATCTCCCTGGTCCCTTTTGTTTTTCAAGACAGAATTTATAGTTTTATCTTGAACTTCTGACCTTTCTAGGTCTACTACCCCCGTGGAGTCAAATCCTGGCCTTCATCTTGGACTTCTGCCTCCAGAATTGTAAGTTTAGTGTGCACAGTGATTTCAGATCTTACCATATAGACTCTAGTCATCTCTCACAAACCTTCTGCCAAGTCCCAAATCGTGACTTTGTTTTTGTCCCCAACTTTAGGGAAGTAGATGTAGCTGCCATGGTGGGACACTGCAGCAAGGCCCGTGCGGTCCAGAAATGGAGTCGGAGACCGCAGCTTCTGAGCGGACCGCAGATCCCAGACCTTGAAAGATGAAGACTTCCGGGATGCAGACACCACCAGAGTTCCACCCCTGACCAGCAGGCTTGCAGGGGTGCCCATGCCCTCAAGGACACTCAGCAGGGTCCCCTGTTCTGACAGACTCCACACCTGAGGGTCAAGAACAGAAGGACAGGTCTGCCCTGGGTGCATGCCTCGGCTGCTCATCGGCCTCTGCTCAATGTGGAGGCTCTGGCTCCAGGGTCCTCACCATCCCTGACAGCTGAAGACTTCCTGGGGCCTCAGCATTCTCCCAGGCTGTCCCGTGGAACTCTTGACAATCGAGGTTGGGGGTGCTTGAGGAGGAACCCACAGGGCCTCTCAGAGGTCTGGAACAGCAAACTCTCTTCATAGCAATCCTAAGTACTGGCCTGTACTCATGGGTACATGGCAGATCCTGCGGGAGCTACATGAGTGAGATTACAGTGTGCTGCTCTTGCAGAGAACCCAGTTCAGTTCCCAGCACCCACACGATGGCTCACAGTCATCTGTAACTCCAGCCCCTGTGGATCTACTCTCTACTACCACTGAGGGCACTGGGCATGCACACGGTGCACAGATATGTGATGCTCACCCACACAAAATAGTGATAGGAAGAACAGTGATAAAAAGCTTCTGATGGAAAAACTATGTCATTGTGTGAACATGTCACATTAGAGGACCCACAGATATGTGTTCTTGGATTGCCTCCATTTTTTTTTTTTTTTTTTTTGTTTTTGAAACAGGTTCTCATGCTGCCCAGACCAGCCTTGAACTTGCTATGTAGCTGAGATAGGCTGGGACCACCACACCCAGCTTCATCTCCTCACTTGGGTGTGCTTTCGTCCCAAGGTTCCTGGGTTGGACTATTGGTCCCAGGGTGACGGGACATTAAAAGGCAGAGACTAGCAGGAGGCAATTGAGCCATGTGGGGTGCTGTCCTAGGAAAGGATTAAGTAGCTGACTATGGTTGAGCACACCAAGAAGGTGGAGGGTGAAGCATAAAAGGTCAACCTCAGCTCCATAACAAATTTGAGGCTAGCCTGGGCTGCATGAGACTCTGTTTCCAAAAATGAAGGGGAGAGTATTAGGTAGTTGTTATGGGACTCAAGTTGGTCCCAGGAGAGGGGCCTGTTACAGGCAGGCAGGGCTGCTCCCTGCTCTCTGACCTCCCGTTCCTAAGAGTGACTACTCCTTCAGTGACTCACACCGTTTGCCCTGATGTGCTGTAGACAAGGAAGCCGCACCAGAACTGGTACACTTCTGTGCAGTCAAGTCAACTTCCAAAAAGTGTGGGCTAGATAGACCTTTCTTCTCTATATAGTTTCCAGCCTCAGGAATATCATTATTGTAACAGAAAATGCAACCCTAATATTGGCATATATGTATACTACCTATAATAAATAAATGTTTCTACATAAATGAACTCTGTTGGTTCTCAAGATTCTCTAAGATTGTAGAGAGGTCTGAGAGCAGGATGCTGGGATCCCATAGTCCCTGTCTTTATGTTCTCAGCAGCATTGACAACTAAGACTGCCCACCCTTGTGGACCTGGAGGCCTCCATCCTGAGTTTTCAGTTCTGGTTGGGAATGCTGCCTGTTTTGTGAAACATTCCAGGTCTGCTACTGGGTGGAGGATGCCAGCATCCCGCATATTCCCTTTAAACTCCCCCATCTGGGTCTGAGTTCATCTGGTTTCTGTGTGGAATGTACATAGCAGGTGTAAGGGGTCCAGCATTCGGAGGCTGGGATTCTGAATACACCCTCACCTGGATAAGTGAATCCAGGGACCCTGTGATGATCAGATTGTTCTCAGGACCCAAGACTGCTGTCTCCACCTCGTGCTCGTGTTCCAGATCCGTAGCCATGAACCGGTGGAAGCTTTGCGAGTCAGCCAAAAAAATCCGCACAAATCTTCCGAAACCTGTGGTGCCACAGAACTCAGTTAGGCTTCTAAGGCTGGCACAGCCTGCGAGCAGCTACTCAGTCTATGGGTCCTCTAGATCACCTACTGTGTCTCAGGTGAGGGATGTAGAAGGACCAGGGTGGGGGGCGGGGCTCCACCTCAAACAGCAGATGTGTGTGGGAGGTGAGGTCACTGAGCTGTAGGGAAATTCAAGAAAGTCCCTAGTACCACAGAGCGCTGAGCTCCCTCAGGGCCCAGCGCCGCGATCTGGAACCACTGTTCAAATGCTCCAGCCATGAGAGGGAGTTACTTTCCCCAGCTTAAAAAGATGGTCATATCCTATTTATCTATTATTTATTTATTTATCTATTTATTTATGTGTGCGCACAATTCACTCTCGTGCACATGTGGAGGTCAAAGGACAACCTGTGAGAGTCATATCGCTCCTTCTACCACTTGAGTTCTAAGAATCGAACTCAGCTCATCAGGTTTGGCATGAACCACCTTTATTCACCGAGCTCTCTCACTGACCCTACTTTCTCTATCCTGAGTGTGTGTGCATGCCATGAGCCTGGGCTAGCCCCACTAGCCTCCTGTCTCCCCTCCCCACAGCAGGCACACCTGCCACTCTACCCCAATGTTTACAGACTGGAAATTGGCACTTGCACAGTGAATACTTTTACCCACGGAACCATTCCTCAGCCTTGGCTTCCCCGTCTATACATAAGAGTACAGAGTGTGGGCTTCAAGGCTGGCACGGGAGAGCAGTGGAATCAGCATGTGCCTATCACTGAGGACAGTTCCAACAACTGCACACACACAGCTTTTCACACCACACACACACACAATACACACACACACCACACACACCATACATACATACCACACACATATACATATAACACACACAACACATACTGCACCACACACACACAACACACACACACAACACGCAC